ATCCCTGAACCTAGAATAGTGCCTGAGGCCTAATAGTCTTTCTGTGACACTGGGAAGGGTATGGACAGTCTATCTTAGACACAGAAACATAGCACATTTAGAGACTTTATGTTTTATAGGCATCTTGAACTCAGCACAAGTAAAAGCATCTTCCTCTTTATGGTTACAAATGTCTCGCCCTCCTTAGCTCCAACTGCCTACACTCCCAAGGGCACCTCATTCTACCCAATGTCTAAGAAATAACCCAAGTAAGGAAAAAAAACAGAAGTATGAGGTGGATAATTTTTGTAAGTTTTGAATGAGGATATCATTAGATAATTAATTAATTACCTCATTAGATTAATTAATTAATTTTTGTAAGTTCTGAAGGTTGGATATCTCATTAGACTCATTAATAAATCAGCCTCTGGGCTAGAGACTATTTCAGTTAGTCTTGTTAGTTGTTGGGTAACTAGTTCAGTTACTCTTGTTAGTGAATGAGTTAGCTAGCTGGAGACTACCTCAGTTAGTCTTGCTAGTTAGGCTTACCTACCATGAATACTGCTCCTGGGTTTGATCCTCAGCACCACATAAAACCCGGTATGGTGGTTCACCCCAGTAATCTCAGCACTGGGGAGGTGTAGATAGGATTAGAAATTGAGTGTCATCCTAAGTTACATTTCTAGTTTAAAAACCAGCCTGGGATATATGAGACCCTGCCTTAAAAATTATATATATATATATAATTTGGAGATATATGTATTATATATATATAATACAAATATTCCTGTGGCACCAGTAAAACCCACAGCGTGCACTCTGTTCATCTAGGGAGAGCTGTACTCCAGTACTCGAGCGCTCACAGCAGCTAGCCTGCAGAAGAATAATCTGGATGACTGAAGAGCGAGGCAGAGTCTCAGCTCTCTCGAGTGCAACAGCCTCCACTCTAGACCTGAGCCCAACAAGGTCTCTCCCCTGCCTGGATGCCTTCGCCATGCACACTAGTGAACTGAGTAGTGGTGGGGGCTGGGGTGTCGACAGTGTCTGGGGGCGCTTTAAAATGGAACACCTCTGCTGCTATACTTCTGACAACAACGTGATGCTGACAACGCACAGAGTTGGCTGGGAGCAAAACACTTCCTTTGGCAAAACCCCTTTTCCGTGGGGGCTCTGACTGCAGGTACCTGTCCTGTCGGTATGTGGCGCATCCCGGAGGAGCGCTCGCTAGGTGGCGCTCGTTCTCCACTGTACCTCGGCGTGTTCTGCACCGACAAACGAAGCTCCCAGGGAAAGCGTCCTCCGTGAGGCCATTTCGTCGCTTCTCAGACTTGGGAACCCAAAGTGCTTTGTGAATCCAATGCGTTTCCGTTACCTGGCTGTCCCTCTTTACACCTAGCTTAGTTCGCTAATTTTTTTAAAATTGTGGTTCTACTTCTCGAGGTTTGGTTTCCATCCGCAGGCCAGAGCTCGCTGCATAGTCAAAGTACAGACAGAAAAACGTCTTTAAATTTGCATGCTTTTTTTTTTTTATTTCCCCAGATAGAGGACAAGTTATTTTTATGACGAATAACTAATTAGAAAAGGATAAGGAAATATTTAATGAGTGTAAACACAAAGGTTAACAAGAAGAACCAGCTGGAGTGGAAAATTTAGTTTGATTGACATTAAAGCCAAATTTGAATCCAGATTAGCCACCCACTGATGCGTCTCTTTTGTCCTATGTAAAATAGTAGTCGTTTTTCCCACTCATCACACTCCCAAGGGGCGTGTACTTAGGGTAAAGCGATAGTCTCCTGACTTATTGGGGGTAGGTACCCTGGCCTGTGCTGATAATGGTTTTTTGTGTGTACTTTTTTTTTTTTTCCAGGGATAAACCTGGACCCTGTGAGTAAAAACCCCTGCTGGGGGCTGGATGGTTTAGGCACTCCGGAACTCTGCACGCCTGAGAGGCCGAGACTACTCGCAGAGCCCCTGGCTGTCTGCGGAGGGGAATGGCCAGGCCCCGGAGCGACCTCCATGAGCCTGCAAACGCATCCTCTTCTTTCTCGGCCTCTGGAGTCGCTCGGCGGCCTCGGAGATCAAAGCTCTTAGCCTCGTTTTAAAGGAATAGAAACCGGAGCAAGCAGGTGACCTGAGTCCAGGTCACCGCGCTGAGGGTGAGCGTCTTGTGGCTGCAAGAGTAAGGGCGGGGGCCAGCCTGAGCCCTGCGGCCGCTCCCTCGCCCCCAAGACCCTCAAACTCAGATTAGGAGACACGCGGACGTTCGGCAGCTTCCGCGCATCGCGAGGTGGCCCCGCCGGGAAGTGCCGGCTCGGACTTGTGCGCCCCTGGAGCGCCGGCGCGCACCCCAAAGGTCGCCACGTTCCACCGATGCTGCGGCTTCCCGCATCGCAGCCCCGGCGGCTTTCCCACCGTCATCCCACTCTACCAGCCGCTGGCTGAAGCCTGGAGGGCCAGCCGGGCCAGACAGCCGGGGCTTGGGGACCCCAGGGCGCCGCGCCGAAGGGGTGCGCAGGAATCAGGCTGCAGAGGAAGAGCCGGACGCCACGGAGGATCCGGGAGGGGAGGCCCAGAGGAGAGCAAGGGATGGGGGAGGAGGAAAAGGGGAAGAAGTTCGGAAAGAGCCGGGCCTGGGGGCGAAGAACGCGCAGAGGAAGGTTGCGGCTGGAGAGTCGCCGCGGCCCAGCGCACCTCCCGGCTCCTCCAACTCCCTGACCAGACCCAGAGCAGCGCCGGTGATAAGTTAAGCACCTCCGAAACCACCGGGTTTCCGGGGCTCACCGCTTCTGGAAGCAGTTGCCTTGGGTGGCCTCGAAGAGGGGTCTCCGCGCGCTCGCACTAGCGTCTGCCTGTTCCAGACGACCTCCTCGAGTTTGCGCTGACCTCAGAGCCACACACGCCGCTCTCTGGCCTGGACTCCTCATGCACCCAGGGGACCTCGGAGCATCTGACCCCCTGGGCTCGTGGTCCCACAAAGCCTTCCCAACTCTTCTCAAATCCTTTTTCTTAGGAGCTGCCGCTAGCTGTAGTTCGGGACTGGAGTCTTTATCTTCCGCCAAACCCGGGCCTCCGGGCCCTGCGTGCTGCTCTCACTCTGAACCTAGAGATCTGCTAAGTGCTGCAGTTGCCCGAGATGGCCCGGTCATCCTCTGCCGCTCAGCGCCTCTTGGAGACGAAGAATGCAATCACTTCATTCTCGTGCACACGCAGTAAACGCTGAGAACTCCCAAAATCACCAAACCCGTCTTTCCATGTTTCGAAACCTCCTGCCGCGTCTGTGGCAACTGTGACTGGAGTTTCTTTTTTATTTTAACCATTTTTGTCAACTAAACAGTAATTATTACTTCAAGTATGTGGACCTCAAACTTTACTGCAAGATCATTCAATCCTCAGCTACCTCCGTCTGCCCGTAGGTCGTGAACGCAGCTTCCTGTCTCACTGTGTCCAGTGTCCACAGAGCCAGTCGCACACATAGCCTACACCTGCCTAACCCTGTTTCGGGAGCAATCTATGACTCCTCCACTGTCCCTAGAGAAAAACATCTATATGTATTCCCAACACCCCAGTGTAGGGTGAGGAGTAGGGAAAGCAAGTTTAATAAAATAGGAAAATGTTGGGGGGGTGGAATGCTTCCTTTTGAGACTTCATAACCATTTTTGTTTGGTCCCTTTCCTGACCTAAAGAGTGTCCCTTGGCCCTTACACTTGCCCGTACGAACAACAAATTTAAGCACCTTTCCCTCAAAATTTACACAACTGTTAAGAACTATAAAGTGAAATACCCTCTTCAAGTGAGTTTTTCCCCAGGGTACACTGCACCCTCTTCAAGAGAAACAGTTGACTGAACCACGGGAAATCTGCAGGGTTCAAATCATCCTTGTAAAGCGGAAGATTCTGTCCAGTGAAGGACTTCCACTTGCGGTGCAGAAGGAGAAAAGGGAAAGCAGTAGAGAGAGGTGTTCAGTGTTTCAATGACACCAAAGAAAACAACCCAGAAGCTTATTAAGTTCAAATCACAGTCATTTTAATGTATTCAGTGGTTCATGTTTGTGTTTTGGATGTTGTTAAACCTCTGGTAAAGTTCACAGAAGACTGTAAAATGTTACTTGAACAAACTTTTTATTTAAAAATAAGCAACATAAATAAGCAAATAGGTTTTGACATGCCCACAATATTTGCTTCATTCTATTGGGTAAAATAACATAGTTCTTATTTTTAAGGGCGTTAAACATTATCAATTCTGGATCTCATTACTAGGTCCCAGATAGTCCTTAAAACACTTAACTATTTCTATTCAACTCACAAGTAGCAATATTTAAGGGAGAAATGGAAAGCATTTTTTTCTTTCCGTTGTAAAACTTTGAGCAAAGTCCAATTCAATTCAGCGTTGACTGCCCAGGGAAATGACCAGCCGAGTTCCGCTAACGCTCCCAACTCCTCTCTTGACTTTGGATTTGACTGCTATTTTCCATCCTAGCTTTTTAATCTGTCTACTACAGAAACCCAACCCAATCAAACCCAACAAGGAAAGGAAAATATTTCTAGAGTGATTTTAATTAGTTGATTATTTCATTAAGAGCATTAGCCGGTAAGCCAAACTTTAGGAGCGCAATCGATGAAGTTTGCTTTTCAACTTGAGGCTCCTTCCTAGAGAACAGAAACTACACGTCATTTATGGAAGTGTATTCTCTTGGGGTTTCGCCGCAGATTTGGACTAGGATTCATATGAGGGTTCCAGAAAAGCGCCAGACTAGGTGGCTAGAAGCGCTAGAGTCAGAAACACGGTTTCAGAGTGGGTGTGCCTCCCGGTTGCTTAGGATGCTCCGAGAACCAGGCTTAGGAAGGAAGGGGTTAACTCAGACCTTGTCTTTAATGACTCAACAAGCGCAGTTGTGTCTCTTAAAATCTTCGGCCCCCAGCTGGAAACAGCCAATCCACTGCGGGGAGCGCCCGGGACTGCCGGTGAAGGGGCGTGGCCCGATGCTGTCACTCAACCGTGAGGAATGACAATCTGGTGGGAGGGGGGGGTCCGGTGGATCGCTGGGGAAGGAAAGAGAAGAAACAGATAAAACCGGGGTAGAGGGTAAAAAAAGGTGTCCGGCGCTACTCGGAATCCAGGGGCCGCTGCAGTCGCGGGCGGAGCCGGGAGGTGGGCTCCGGAAGAGCCTGCGGGAGGGAAAGGGAGGACCCGCCGGGAGCGCAGCCTGCAAGCGGGGAAGGAAGAAGGAGGCCTTGGAGAAACTGACTCGGGCCCTGCGCCCCGGCGGCGCTCGGGAGGGGGCTGCGGACGCCGAGAGGACCCCGATTCCCGCCGGGCTCCCGGGAGGGGACAGACCCCGGCCGGGCCCTAAGTGCGATAGGCGATGATACAACCCAGCTAAGCTGCGAAAGGAGAGTGTCTGACTCTGGACCCGAGGGAGGGGGTCTCCCGGCGGGGTGGGTCTCTGCGGTGGGGTGAGGGTCCGCACAGATCCTGGGACGGAGGGGCGGGGGCTGCTGAGCTACACCGGAGTGGGCAGCCCCGGCCGGCTCACTTGCGCTGCGGTTGCCCGCGCTCCGGATCCAGCTCAGAGCTGCCCCAACCCAGCTGCCCGCAGCCCGGCCCGCCGGCCGGCCAGGGGCTCCGATCGGCGTCGCAGATGGCCGCGCGCAGCTCTAGCACCTTGACGCCCTTCTCCATCCAGGCGATTCTCAACAAGAAGGAGGAGCGCGGCGGGCTGGCTGCTCCGGAGGGACGCCTGGCCCCCGGGGGCCCAGAGGTGGCGGTGGCCGTGGCACCCGCGGTCTGCTGCTGGCGGCTCTTTGGGGACACGGACGCGGGTGCGCTGGGGGGCGCCGAGGACTCTCTGCTGGCGTCTCGGGCCGGAACCAGAACAGCTGCGGGCCAGACCGCCGAAAGCCCGGGAGGTTGGGACTCCGACTCAGCCCTCAGCGAGGAGAACGAGAGCAGGAGGCGCTGCGCGGACGTGCCCGGAGCCAGTGGGACTGGCCGCGGGAGGGTGACCCTGGGCCTGGAGCAGCAGGGCTGCGAGCTACACACCGCCAAAGACCTGGAGGAGGAAGCCGCCGCCCGGAGCGACAGCGAGATGTCAGCCAGCGTGTCAGGTCTGCTTGGGCTGCACAGGGAAGGGGGTTGCGCTGAGGGCATGGATTAGGAGACCATTCACTCCGAGGGGGCTGGGCCTGCTGTGGGCATCCTGTATTCTACCGCCCTTAGGTGCTAGCCAAGTCCCGAAGTTCTGCACGCAGACGCGTGCTGCAGCAACCCTCGGGCAACTGAGCCTCGGGTAGACTGTGAACCCTCTTAGAGCCCTGGGTCCTGGTACACTGTGGCCTGGACAGGCTCGGGGAGGGACCTCAGCACCCTGTTCCGGAAGCTTTGCGCTCAACTCCAGAGCCCTATCTGTGTGCGTTCTTAAATCTTTAAAATTAGCAAAGGAAGACCAGAGACCAGGATAGATCGTGGCTTCCCCCACCACCTCGCTCCGACCCAAAGATACTAATGCATAAAAGTCCTCCCAAGGTGGTGTTCGAACAGGGAGTGAAGGACTCCGCAAAACCAACAACCTAAGGGTGGAAGGGAGGATTTGCTCCAGGTTATTCTGGAGGCGCTTTATTCACAAGCTGGTATATTACTGGTCTGAAAACCCCGCCGCTGGCTTCTGTTTTCGTGCACTCTACTGTAAGCTGCACGCTGGCTCCGAACAGGCCTAGGCGTGGGGCCTCTCCACTGGGACACTGCAGGAAACCCAGGAGAGTCCGGAAGTCATGTCAGATCAGGAAGATCAGAGTCTAGGGGCCAGAGGCATAGACACTCTCTCTTCACAGTCAACCTCAGTTTCCCTTATTTCCTTGCAAAGAAGGTTGGGAGGAAATCCACTCAAGGCCTTGCTGCACCCAGTTGCCATAGGCCTGGCAACAGTCCTGGGCTGTTGGGGTAGGAGAAGCCGTCTGCCTCTGACTGCAAGATCCATCCTTCACCTTCCCCTAGAATGCAGCCAGAGGGTGTGTGTGTGTGTGTGTGTTTGGCCTGGAGCTGGGAAACAGAAATTCAGCCTACAAAGCCAGGACCAGAGCTGTGTGCAGAGAGCGCGTGCATAGGCTCAGGCCGAGTACCCCACATTACTTACGGCTGGGGATCGAGGGCCCAGGAGAGATGGTCCTACACCGCCTTGGCATAGCTGCAGAGTGGGTCACTTGCACCAAAAGAGATCAAAAGTTGAGGAGCGGGTGCCACAGAGTTCTGAGACCCACACTTCTGGAACCTCACTGCTCGCTTCCGTTGGGCGCAAAGTGTATTTCCATTCCCAGTCTGCCCTGGGAAACCACTGCAGTTGAGACCCACTCCGAGACGCTGACTAGCTCTTGCATTTTGTTCCCACCGGAACCCGCAGGCGACCGCAGCCCGAGAGCGGAGGACGACGGCGTTGGCCCGGGAGGCGCACGCATGCCTGGGCTGTGCAGCGGAGCGGGCGGAGCCGGGAGCGGCGGGCCAGCGGGCGGCGCTGAGGAGGAGGAAGAGCCGCCGGCCCCCAAGCCCCGCAAGAAGCGCTCCCGGGCGGCCTTCTCGCACGCACAGGTCTTCGAGCTGGAGCGCCGCTTTAACCATCAGCGCTACCTGTCTGGGCCGGAGCGCGCAGATCTGGCTGCGTCGCTGAAGCTCACCGAGACGCAGGTGAAGATCTGGTTTCAGAACCGTCGCTACAAGACCAAACGCCGGCAGATGGCGGCCGACCTGCTGGCCTCGGCGCCCGCCGCCAAAAAGGTGGCGGTGAAGGTGCTGGTGCGTGACGACCAAAGACAGTATCTGCCCGGAGAGGTGTTGAGGCCGCCCTCGCTCCTGCCACTGCCACCGTCTTACTATTACCCCTACTACTGCCTCCCCGGCTGGGCGCTCTCCACCTGCGCAGCCGCTGCGGGTACCCAGTGAGCGAGTCCTGCAGCCCCCGTTTGCACAGGCGCTGACAGGTGTTGGGGCTGTATTCTGCAGGGGCGCTCCAGCGAGGACGCCCAGTGGAGGGTGAAGTCCTGTTCTGGCTCCGCTAGCCAAAGTGACCTGGCAGCCGAACTGAGTCTGTCTGCCCAGAGAGGGCGCCTTGTTCTGATGTGAACAGATGCGCCCTATGACCCAGCGGCTCTGCACACCCGTCACCTATCTGCAAGCCTCGAGACGCTATTTATTACCACAATGTTGGATTCGGATTGCGTCTGCCTGGGGGTGATGTCTGCCCGGAGTAGAGAGGACTCCTGGAGATCCCACAGCCTGAAGCCTCGGAAGGAATCTCGGGCCTGCCTGCCGGAGCTTCGCGCGCTAGGCCTCACTAGTTCATGGTATCCATGCTACGGATCTGTGTGTATCTACATATTTTTATATTTGGAAATTGAATTTGTGACAAAGGATTGCGGAATCATGGCAGCTCTGGGGACCAGGAGTTGATATGAACCCCTCGAAGGGATTGGTTTGGGGGACCTCCCTCCCACACCTCACACACCCCTCACCCGGGCGCATTTCAGGATGCTGAATGTAAGAATGGGAGCCTTTCATCGTGGGGCAGGCCAGGGATCCCTAGACTTTCCCCTTCTGAAATTCAGGGCCAAAGGGAAGTTGCCTGGAAGACCCCAAAGAGTTGGGGGCCCTACACTAAGGGTCCTTTGCAGAAACTTGCCTTTATTTCTTTTTATTTTTCAAAGAAGGTTGAGACTTGTAGCACTTTTCAGTTGTTTGTATTCAAATAACGGTTATTTTTGTATTCAATGTGAATATCCCTGGCCCACCATCCCGAGGCTGCCTCCGCAGTCCGCCTTTCTACCCCTACATCCTCCTTGAATCCTGCACCTGGGTCGGTGGCAACTCCCTCTCTGCCCCTCACCTGTTTCTACCCGTCTTAACAACCTCGCAGCTTTTCCGCCTCTTTAAGGGCACTGTGCACTCAACTAGAGTATTATCTTTAAAAGATCTGTGAAGTTTGGAAGCTTTATTGGCTGTATGGTTTTTCTTTAATTTATAAACTTTCAGTTTAACATGCTCTCCTGGAAGCCTTGTTGTCTCTGAGATTATTTTACTGCAGCTTTGGGATGGGGAGGGGAGCGGATTAGAAGTCATTGTGGCTAATTTTCCCAACTGTTTTACTGTCCCGAAGAGAGGACTCTGCCCCATCCCCTGTTCCCAACAGCCTAGCAGCTCACCCTCAGCAAGGGTTTAAGTCTTCCAGGGAATCACAACTTCGGATTTGTCGGTCTGAGCGGAATCCCTCTGAATCTGAAAGCAAATTCCTAAAATTCCTTGTTTTTTAGAGTCCAGGGGCCTCAGAGTCTGGGAAGGGCCCTGTGCTGATTGAATCCACAGCTAATTTCTACCCAGTAAACCTGCAGACCCTTCAACACCTTCGGCCTTCTTTCTGCTTTCGATTTTGCCAGCATTTCTCTTAAGTGACTGTCTTTAAGAATGAACTAGAAGAACAAAAACAGCAAACTCTCACTGAAATTCTAAATCTATCTGGAGAGAGTCAGGCGGGAATAACGTTTCTCCCTGGGAGGGTCACAGGCAAATTTTACCTCGGTGGGTACAAACTATATTGTAAAATGTTTTCAAGTGTTTCTGCTCTCCCGGTGACCTGGTGTCATTTCCTATGAAGGGGAAGCCGGTCAGTAGAGGATGAGACGGGCAAGGTTTCTTTACTGCCCCATTTTACACATGAGCATACCCAACCATTTCATGATTCCCTTGAATACCATGCGTTCTCCTAAAGTTAAACTTTCACCTTTGCTCATCACTTGCGCTATGTCTCTGGAGAGTAAGGGGAAGTCAATGCCACATTGCTGGCACCTCACATCACTTTGAGGACCGGAAATCCAGGCCTGGGCTTGTTTCAGCTCACCTGCAACAGAAGACCAATTAGGGCTACACTCCAGCCTTGGTAACCTTTCCCCACTTCTTGGCCTCTGGCTTGGAAATAAAGGTCTGGGTCTGAAGGGCCACCACCCCTTGGACTGGCATAAGTAGAGTGAAGCGACCAGCCTCCTATTCACTAAGTCCAGCTTCTGCAAACAGCAGAACTATGAAAACCAAAGCCCTGGTGATGTGCACCCCACTGCTCCTCCACCCCAACTACCTGCCTTCTAATTGCTGCAATCATTTCATTTATTTTTTAAGTTCCATTTTCATGTCATAATGTCATAATGAATCATGATACGTTTTCCTGGTAGAAATTTGGAACTTTTCCGTTAATGCTTTCATCTCCTCTCCTCCTTTGCCCAGAGGTCACCACTGTTGAGAATTTTCTTACAGGGGAGGTGATGTCCCCTCCTTTGGAAAATGGCAGTTGCATGTTGCTGCTTGCTAAGGAGGCAGCTTATTTTCAATCCATTGTGGATTTGGAGAAAGGAACTAGAGTTTCTTTAGAGTAGGAAAATGAACAGACCTCTGAGATGCACCCTGGGCATCTTCCTCCTCTCTTGAAGGCCCTATTTCAGCTTCCCACCAGGCCTCCATTGCCGTTCTGTCACTCCCAGCTCCACCCGGATGCCTTCTGGGGGCGGGGGTGGGGGGTGGGTGGGAGCTGAAACGACAGGGGTGAAGCTACCCAGCACATTCTGTTTGGTCTGGATTGTGGCAGCTGTGGGCTTGCAGCAACATGAACACCTTGAGTTCTGCTTCTGAGACCCCAAGGTTACCTTTGGGTCCAGCTTGGCCTTCCGGGACTCTGCATGCAAAATGTGACCCTGACTGTCGCATTCCTGTTGGGAATCCACAATGTTCTCCTAGTCACTCTGCTATTCCCTCTCTACCATCCACCTTTCTTTCGTGCCTCCTTTTCTATAGTATTATTTTTTCTTTCTTTTTCTTTCTTTTCCTTTCTTTTGCTTCTGGAAGATCAAAAACTCAGCCTGCTTCCTGCTCAAAGGAGTCTTAGTTTTTGAACTTCCTGATGGCTTTGCTACCTGAACTTTTTCTACCAGCTGCAATCACAACTGCAGCTCAGAGCCCAGGGTCAGTCTACTGCTTCATCCTTCTGTGCGTTTGACCCTCAGTAAGCAGTAAAACTGGCCTTGGAACTATTGGATCCTGACTCATCCACCTTACAGCTGAGTAAACTAAAGAGAAGGGAATGACTGAGAACAGGTTTGGAATGAGCTTTGACCAGCACTGGAATCTAACCCAAGGATTCAGGTTGAGTTCATGAATCTTGCCCTGGGCAGCAAATTTGGGATAAATTGGCTTGCGTGAGAGTGTGCGTGTGTCACAAGCCCTTGCTTATCTCAAGCTGGGACTCTGGAGAAAATCCTGGAGAAGTCCCTGGAGAAATCTTGGCTGTGTATTGATAGAACTGAGGGAGTTGAGGTTGGATTCCATTGAACTATTGGTGGCTTTCTGCGGTGATGAATCCTCACACACAGCTCTCTGACACTAGGAAAGTGAAAAGGTGAAAAATCCGACTTCATAGGAGACAGATACTTGCAGTGTCTCTGGCAACGACCATTAATTCCAGTATCTAGAGTCAGAAGAGCTGCAGACTGGTTGGAAAGTCCTGGCTTCTGGGGGTGTGGGGAGTGGAGTATGCCTTGTGGTCCTGCTAGGGGGGGATGGTGGTGTTCCTGGTTCCTTTCATTACAGGGAGGAGAGCTTAGTAATGCTGCCTAGCAGTGAAAGGCCAAGATCCCAGAGGAACAGAAGCTCAGCTGGGGCCTGCAGACATGCCACAAGGCCAAGGCCCTGTGTCTGTAACTTCCTAACTAGCCACTACCAGAGCTCTGAGAGCTCTGTGCCAACCAGGCTGACAATGTCTACTCCACTCCTGTCTCAGTCTGAGTTACAGAACAAAATAGAGAATGTTATCTGACTGCAAAGTCCACAGAAGAGTTGACTTCCCTACAGAAGGACCCTTACTTTGCTGGCAGAGGGCAACAGCTGACTGAGTCTGAGGTACAGTCCTCCCCCCCCCCAAATCTTGAAATTAGCAGGGGAGCTCCTGGGCCCCAGTGAAGGAACATTCCAGAAAGCAGCAGTCCTCAGGGAGAGTGAGGTAGACCTTTGTTGGTGCTCAGGCCATTGCCGGGGACCCAGGATGTTTAGCCTTCTAGGCAACCACTAGGCCAAGGCCCTTTGTCAACTTTCACAACTGGAAATGGCACCCAACTTGGAGGGACTGGACTGCAAGAATCAGCTCTCAAGTGCTTTCTAAACAGGCAAGTGCTGAGAACCCAAAGCAAAAACCATGTGTGCAGTGATCCATCTGTTCTGGGCTTAAGGTGCTGTTAAACCACTTTGTCCTAAGGAAGTTGCAGCAGAGGCTCCTAATGCCACATGGGCCAGGATGACAGCCCAAATGATATTAAAAAATAATATCGATAACAGTAACAATGACTGAAACAAACAAAAAACCTTCCTCTCTTTGCCTAGGAATTGCTTGTTAAGAAGCATTTCCAAACCCTTCCTGCTGGGGTTTACTGGAGCTGCCTCTGGTCTACTGACCATGAAATGACTTCAGTCTTACATAGAGGAGCCTGAGGCTCAAAGAGGCAAGGTGGCTTTTCTACCATCACAGGCCAGTGAGAATTTAAGTGACAGCCTTTAAAAATTCAGAAACTACAGAGATTGTCTGTTAGTGCTACGTCCATCTGATTGGCATCTGGTGCTGAGGTGCCGATCCCAAAAATATAGATGTACTTTGAAAACCATGAAGCAGTGTGTATGGTACAATTATTTTACTGTTGTTGACATTATTATTGGCTGGAGACAATCCTATCTAAAGTTCTGCATCCTTTACGGAACAAACATCTGCCTAGCTTTGAGTCAACTTGTCAGAAATCTAAAACCTCTAACCAGTTTTTGGTCTCCTAATAATAAATGTTTTTAAAAATGAAGAAAAGCAGCCAAAGTAGGGATGCAAAAAAAAAATGCGTTATATTGTAAATGGTTACATCATCTAATAAATCGTTTTTCCTCCTGTAGTGCACACACAGGAGTTATTCAACATAAATTGGGTTGTTTGAATCATTAAAAATACATTTATAAGAGATTGAGTCCTAAAGCTCTGCAAGCAGGGGTGGTCCTGTGTAGGGAGAGTTTAAACTGAATGATGAACTTTCCTCAAATTTGTCTAGTGTAGGCCGGAGGCTGAGCTTCCTGTTACTGAAACGCCAAAAGTCTAAATTCGGCTTAATTCTGGCGTTGTAAGAGGTAACACCGGCCCAGAGTCCGGCTGCTGTTGAGAAATTTTTTTTTTTTAAAGGCAGGTAGGGAAAAGTACTGGTGTGGCTTCTGGCGGAACCGGAACCAACCGGCCACTTCGAATAGCACCTCTCTGTTCTCATTGGAGTGGCCAGTTTAAAGGGGACGCCGGGCAGCTAAGTAGGGGTGAGGTAGGCCGGCTGCGGGACCCAACCGTTGCTCCAAGCTCAGGTGGGTGAGTACGAGTGCAGAGCACAGCTGGCCCAGGACAGGCCGCTCTGGCGCCCTCGCTCCCTCTCTGCTCAGGTGCTCTCTCTGGCAGTCGCCCGTCGCCCCGCAGTCGGTATGCCCACCGATCTGAGTGCATAAACTGCAGCAAGATAGCGTAGCGTGTTCTCCTGCCGGCGCCAGCAAAGCTATTGCATCTTTAGTGAGGATCAGCACAGGAATTTTGTGCGTTGTCAGCGAGCTTCCTGTGAGTTCTGGTTTCCCAGGGTCCCCTCATTGCAACCTCAGCCTTCTTCCTAGGACTTGGGCCTATGATGGGTGCCTGTGCGAAGATGCTCCTGGTGGGAAAAGTTTCCGCACTCTGGTGGGCCTAATGGCCCTCTAGGTCATAGAGGAGGCTTCCGGAGGACCTGGACTCCACATTCCTAAGACCACCGAGTTGGTGAATCTTAGGTAGCTAGCTTCTCTTTTCTGTGCATCTATTTTAAAAATCTGTAAGATTTCGGACCGTGTTCGGAGTGCACGTTCGCCTTCGGCGAGGAGGTAAAGGAAAATCTTTTACTCGAAATTATAACTCCTTGCTCTTCCTGAGCATTGTTGCTTTTATTTGGGCAGGGGTGTTGTTT